TATTTGGACACCCAGATAACAAACCATTGCGATAGTCCAGTCTAGACGTGACAAATGCATGGACCAGTTTTTCTGCATCATTTTTAGATAAGATGTTTCTAATTTTAGTGATTTTACACAGATGGAAGAAGGCAGTTCTAGTAATGTTTTTAATGTGGGGGATAAAAGACATGTCCTGATCAAAAATAACACCAAGCTGTTTAACATTAGAGCTGGAGGACAGATTAATGCCATCTAGAGGAAGTGAAAGGCTGCAAAGTTTATTCCCAAGGGGCTCTGGTCCAAAAACCAAAACTTCAGTCTTGTCTGAGTGTAAAAGCAGAAAACTAAGGGCCATCCATCTTGTCTTGGTATGTAATAATGCAGACATGTTCCTATTTTTAAATTTCTACACTGCCTTACAACCTCGCTGTTTTTTTCCTTTTAATTACCATTTTATTTTCACTTGTTTAAAAAAATTAAATTTGTATGAATCCTTTATGACTGTCTATTGTTGTCGTTGTTGTCATCACTTTGTTAGAATCAGGTCTCTCTTGTAAATGAGTCCCCGAGGCTCAATGGGATTAACCTGTATAAATAAAGGTTGAATGAATAATGGCCAGCTCTTATTTGCAGGATTACCGCTTTTATATTATTTATTTTTTATCTGACATTTGTTTTTCAAAGTTTTGCCTTATTTCAAATATTTGTATGGGACCATTTATTCTTTGAAGAAACAAACAAAAAAACCCGCTCCTTAATAAAAGGTATGAACAAAGGCTGACAGCACCAAATGCTGCTTAATTGTTAATTAATGTGAATTATATAAATGATTTATAATAAGTGATTAAGATAACTGAACATGCTTGCATATTCTGCAATAATAGATACCAGATGATCCTGCCTTGGTATTGATAAAAGACTTTTATCAATACCACTCAACAGTTTCTGTACATTTGATAACAAGGGCTGTATGAATGTGTGTGCTGTTTAGCTGATTTTTTGTCTGCTGAAATGTGTGACTAATTTAAATGTGATAAAACCTTGAATATGTCAAGATCCATAAAATTTCCCATCCTGCAGTACTAATAAACTCCGTTTTTTGTTGCCTCAGTGCTGAATCTCTATCTCTTGTCATAAGACACAAGCAGAGGTTTATGTTAGAATAAAGAGACTATAAAAGGACTCTGGACCTCAGTAAAACCAGCAGCGCAGAGGTTAGAGAGAGAGACAGATTAACTCTACATGCAGCCTGTAACTTTGTTAGCTCCACAAACATGCAGACGTTCAGACTGAATTAAGGTTTTTGTTCAGCTGTGTGAGAAAATCTGCATCCTGTGAAACCA